TCCATTGATCAGTGTGTCTGTTTTTATGCCAGTACCATACTGTTTTGGTTATTATAGCTTTATAGTATAGTTTAAAGTCAGGTAGTGTTATGCCTCCAGCTTTATTTTTTTTGCTCAGAATTGCTTTCGCTATGTATGGTATTTTGTTATTCTATATAAATGTCTAGATAGTTTTTTTTCCATTTCTGAGAAAACTGTCATTGGAATTTTGATGGGGATTGCATTGAATTTGTATATCACTTTGGGTAGTATGGACATTTTCACAATGTTGATTCTTCCAATCCAAGAGCATGGGATATCTTTCCATCTTCTTGTGTCCTCTTTAATTTCTCTCAGCAGTGGTTTGTAGTTCTCATTATAGAGATTTTCAAAGCACGGTATTAAGGCTAGAAATAAGGAGAAAAAACTGCAGAAGAGACAGTCCTAGGGCTGCCATTTGCACTGAGGGCATCAACTCAATGCAGGGCTTGGGTTTTAAAGGGCTAACAGTTTGTGGTTGGGGTAGAATCTAAGTCCCCCTCATAGACCTAGATTTTTCTCAGAAAGGCAACATCCAGGGTATACAATCGGGACATAATAATAATTAAAAAAACGTCTCTCCTGATAGGTAACTGTTAAGTAGGAGCATGACCTCACAAAGTTTTGAAGCCCCCAGTTCAACTTTCTTATAAGAATTGAAATCCCCTAAGTCTAAAAGACTTGAAGAAGTCTTACGTTGGTATAGCCCAATATATTTACCAAAAACTAAGTAAACCTTTCCTGAAAAGGTTTTTAACACAGGTCTCAAAAAATTCGCAGAGATGAAGTCCCAAAGCACATGAACTTACCAAGTATCATGAGCAGAAATAATAAATTGCAGGCCCACAAAGAATACAAATATTAGAATCAGACCTAAATGCTAAAATTATGTTTAATTTGCTTCATGAAATATAAGAGGGAACCAAAATATGCCAAAGAACAGGAGACTATCAAAACTGGCTGGCAAATTTGAAAATCAAGCAAATAATAAAACTTCAAGAAAAGGAAAGAAGATAATAATTGAAATTAGGAAATCAATAAAAAGGTTAATCAGATTAGATGTAGGTGAAGAGATAATCAGAGAACTGGAACATAAGTCTAAATAAATTACTGAGAATGCAGCACAGAGACAGGGAGACCTCAAATATGAGAGATACTGAATCATGCACAATAAAATATGACAGTCCACTGTAAGTATAAGATTTCCAAAGTGGAAGAATAGATAGAGAATAAAAAGAGCCAATAAAGGTGTGCCTCCCTAATCTGAAAATCCAAAATTTGATACTTTATGAGCACCAACGTGACACCTAAAGGAAATGCTCACTGGAGCATTTCAAATTTTGGACTTTTGGATTAGATGCTCAATTGGATGTATTCTGCAAATGTTCTAAAGTCCAAAAAAATCTGGTCCCAAGTATTTTGTATAAGGGACACTCACCTGTATTAGAAGATCCAAGAACTGAAGACACCAATCCTCAAACAAAATAAACAAGACTCCAAAAGAAACATATAAAAAACAAAGCCCAAGAAAAGATCTTAAAAGTATCCAAAAAGAGAAGAAGAGTATACACAAAGCAACAATTAAACTGACCTCTAAATTATCTATAGCCATAGAGGAAGCTAAAATCCATTTGAATAATAGTTTTTACAAAACTACTTTTAAAAAACTGAGAGAAAAAAATAAAGGTTATTCTAGAATTGCATATATGGTAAAAATATCTTTCAAGAATGAAAGCAAAAAGAACGACAGTTTCAGACAAAAAAAAAGGTGAGTTCAGTCGTAAGAG